CAATTTAATAAGTAATGTAATTTTTGAGAAAATTAGCCTCAGTACCACTTTTTTCAAAAAGTTTAGGCCCAGTACCACTTTCTGAGTTCACTTAGCATCCATACCACATTCGTCATCTGGAAAGACGAAACTACCCTTCTGGCTGCATCATGAATGTGTCAGGGGAAGGAGCTACAGTCTGCCGTCCTTTTTCTCTCTCCTGGCGCATTGGTAACCGTTTTCGTCCCTCTGGTTGGTAAAACAAAGCTGTCCCCGAATAAATCCAGATCTTCGTAGTCTCCGAATTTTCTGCCGTCCGCAATCTCTCTCCTAACGCATTGGTAACCGTTTTCGTCTCTCTGGTAAAACAAAGTTGTCCCCGAGTAAATCCAGATCTTCGTCTTCGGCTCTTTGGCGGAATAAAATAAAGATCAGTTGTCTCCAAGTAAATTCAGATCTCTGGCTGGTAAAACCACATCATCTGGCGATGGACAATCAAGAGAAGTTGTCCCCGAGTAAATCCAGATCTCTGGCTGGTAAAACCACATCATCTGGCGATGGACAATCAAGAGATCTGGACTTATTCTTGGGGGACATCATTCACTCTATTTCATAATTATTGTCCATGGTAAATGTAAACTGCATTTAATGCAATGTTTTGTCCTTCTTCTCTGACACAAAGTTGTCTTTCAGACAAAGTTGTCCTTCTCTGACACAAAGTTGTCCCCGTTTCCCAACCGGCGTCTACTGTAGCTCCTTCCCCTGACACATACCTGACGCACAGAGAAGGGCAAAATCGTCCAAGAGTTGCCACACAAACACCAAATGTGGTATGGATGCTAAATCCATTTCAAATGTGGTACATTTGCTAGGATTTTCCCAAAATGTGGTACATTTGGCAAAATTCCCTTAATATTAGCAACGGCTAGTTCATTTTGTTGTTTGTGCAGATTCTTTCACCGATCCAAGAATAATTGTGGACGTATCTTCAGTTTTACGATAGGCATACATTTTCTAAGTTTTTTTCTTTTTTTCTTTCTAAGTTACTGAACATTGAAATATAGAACACATTTTTAACCTAAAAAAGAACATTAAAATATTTCACTGCATTTATTGTTGTCTAAATCTTTTCTATCTGCTTTGATAAAAAAAAAAAATCTTTTCTATCTGCAAAGTGTGTTTAGATTATGCATACACGTATAATGGACCAACTTGACAAGTGGGGTGGACACACGTGGTCCAGTATGAATCATGGTTTATCTTTAGACGTGTATCAGAAATTCAGAATGATTTACTGAAAATGATCCAAAATAAAGACATGTCTTTAACACAAACCCAATATCTTTCCTAATTCGTTTGGGTCCAGTCCATTGCAGCAGTTTTTTCTAGTTTGGAGACTTGGGCCCGGTCATGGTTTCATAAGAATAACATGTCCATCTTATAGCTCCATCATCTTTAAAATTTTGTGATTATTATTGTCATATTAAACAAGACAGATATATTATTTTATTTTTTTTTGATAACCCAGTATCCAGACCACACAGTGATCTGACTAGCCCACTGGGCCTAAGCCCGCGTCACAGGGATTTTTAAGCCTCCACTTAAGGGCCCCCTGATAAACTGGTGGTCTGGGGCGCCTGAGCAAGTCCGCAGGTAAATTCCCAGATGGCCACAGGAGTGAGAGAGCGAAACTGCGTCTGGGGAGGATCGATCCCTGGCCTAGACCAACAGGGCGATCCTTCCAACCAAACGAGAACCACTCGCCCACCACCATGTGGTTAGATATATTATTTCTAGAGTGTTATTTTTTGTGCAAACGATTACAATTAAGGTAGGCAACACCGGACATACTCGACGTGCGAGACAAGTAGGGCAAGGACTAAAGCATATAAAATGAAAGAAGGAAAGATACACAAACTCATCAAAATGTGATAACGCGTGAGAAGATTTGTTGAAACGACCAATTATGAAAAATATCGGGAGAAAATAGACTCTCAATCTCACTTTTACTAGCGATTTGAAGATAATCATATTAACTTGTGACTTTGAGACATACTTCAAAACATCGGATCTCATGAGAGTTTGCAGCTTTCGGTTATGTGTAGCTTTCACATAAGATTGTGAAACGGTTAGGAAATTGAACATCTTCTTTGGAGTTGGATCCAAAAGAAGAACACCTTTAGCTAGAAGGAAATTTGAAGGGAATGTTCTCTTTTCCAAGGCAGAGGAAATGGAAATGGCAATTGATCTCTTCCGGTCCCGCCGGGAGAAACTTTTTATAATATTCTTACTAGAGGATAAGACTAAAGGATTGCAGATTTCACGCTTGAAACATATCTAATTTGGAGACGATATTAATGCAGAACTTGTGAATGAACAAATACCAGACAACATCACCACAAGCATAGAATCTAGAGGAGGACGATAAAGCACAGCCAAACGATTATAACCTGTTGAGGCTAAATCTTTGGATTCGAGAGTGAGGTGCGGAAGCGAATCGAAAATTCGCCAAGGAAATGTCGTCCATTGTTGGCAGGTGAGACGAGCCAACGCCGGTGGAGCTCATTCTGATCGGTGGTTGAAAGCTTGTGGTGGCCACCTTGGAATTCGTGCCCGAGAGAGATTAGGGCAACCTTGACTACCTAAACATGTTCTAGAGTGTTATTTAGTTATGTATTTTAATAGAATATAAATCCAAGCACAATATATTGTTTTACAATCGTTGATTTAAACTGTGTATTAAAATATGGTGTTAGTGAACAATATATATGTAAATGGTGCGTATGAAATTTTAAATTTTGATGCTATTCAATATTAAAAGAAATCAAAATCTACCGTTATTCAAAACAAAATAACTTTAAAAACAAAACTTTGTATATTGGGACATTTGAAATAAATTCTAGTGGAGTTTTATGAGTAAATTATTATATAAAAAATCTAAGATATACTATAAAGTTTAAAAAATCCACACATGAATCCGTAAAAATGATTTCAAAATCTCAAATCTTGAAAATAATAAAACACAAAGAATTAACTTTAAACTCATAGTTGAGTAACAGTACTCATGTTTCTTTAACTTTTATTTTTTATTTGTTAATGTTGTTGTGCTAACATCTTGTGAGCTAACAAATAATCTATACCTCTTATTTACAATGTGGTTAAATGATTCCACACTAAATTTATCCAAGAGAATGTTCTACATTTATGTGCAAAAAATAAGCAAAACAAAAAATATTTTAAAGCAAAATTAATAACTTCTTTTGCTAACTACATGGAAATTGAGGCACACATATTTTTTCTTAAATATATCACAATGAAATTAAGTATTTGTAAGTGGTGCAATGTGACATAGATAGGGACGAATTTCTCCATGATTTGGTTTATTTTAGAATTAGACAACCAAACAAAAAAACAATTTTTGTCGAAGCTATTGAAAAAACAGAGCTTTCACTGGCGCATTATTTCGAACACCTCTTATATGCACTCTTTCATGAAATAGAATGTAAAAGCTAACTAACAAGAGAGCATAACCAAAAGACATACAAATTTAGTTATATGACTTGGATATTTGTCACCACGCCAACTTCTTAACTTCAAATCGTTGCAACTTTTGTGATAGAGGTTGAACCCTTGTTGTTACCACTAGGTAATTGGCATGATCATAAACCACCATTTTGTCTCTAAGAGCCATTTCTGCAAAACAAAATTAGGGAAGAACTTTATTAATATGCGCTGCTTCACTTTCATTTGATCAAGATACAAAGATAGGTCATTACCGCCGATAATTGTTATATGACGACTACTCACACGCCGGAAAGCAATGCACTATATTGCATTTACTAACTGAGGATAGCAACAAATAAACAGAGATAAATATTATCTTTTTGGTATCAGTATACATATTTAGCATATGAATAAGCTTACACCAGGAGATATTTGAAAAAGATACGCCTGCAGTTTTATGACCATGGATATACAACCGACGAAGTCTAAATTAACTTCAGGAAACATGTCTGCGACACTGCCACATGGTTCATTTTCAAACACTGAAAATCTTCTTTCTCACTATTTTTCATCTTCCCTTGATCATGGTCACAAGGAAGATTAGATTGTCATATGGGTTTTACCAAAATGACGCAGAGTGAGAGAAGCTCTCAATAGCGGTTATGTCTATGTGACTCGCCCTTTCTAGCGGTCTCTTGGTTGTGTACGAGCTTCAGAACCAAGGTGTTTTTGGATTGAAATTACTGTTTTGTTGACAATATATATATTGGATACAAATAGAAAAATGATGAAAAAACAAAGACAAAGTTTAAGAACATGTATAGGACAAAGTATAAAACTATAGTTCTTTTACAAAATCTAAGAGTAAGAGATACATGTCACCTTGAAATGTGATATTTTTCGTAGACTTTCTTTAGTAAAAACCTATATATAAAATATTATAAATAGACAAAACACCATTAAATATTTGGCTTTAGCTTAATGTTTCGGTTTAAGAAACAATAACAAATATATGATCGAATGTAGCATAAATCGGTTTCATGTGGTTAAATGTAGGGCATTGCCATCAACGTCTCTTAAGTACATACCCGATATCAAAATAATAATTAAAAAAAAAGTACGAGAGAAAGAGAGAAACGTATTTGGAATGAGAAACGTTTCTCAAACAAAACTGCCACTTGTCAATCAATTACTGGTTTAATTATTAAATCCGAGAATATCTCCCGATGGATGTACAATTTATAAAAGTTAAGTTACAGGTGTAATTCTGTTTTTCCGGATTTAAAGATAAATTATTTCAAAAATTGAATTTTGATCAAACTAATAATTGGGTTGATAAAATTAAATATCTGGTGGAAATACTGTATGCTTAACTTGAATTTTGATCAAAAATACAACTGTTACAACTGTTATTTCAAAAATTGAATTTTGATCAAACTATTCTAGATTAAGACAGTTGAGTTCCAAGGAAAAGGTCATTTGGCAAAACTATGCAATACATTAACATTCTTTTACATATAACTTTAATAACTTAATTTCCACCAGATAAATGGAAAATCATAAACTAAGCTGTGACTAAATTAAACAAGCATTCGATCAGCAAATTCCACTATATTATTCAAAAACCAGTAGAATTCTTCTCCAACTTTGCCCATTTCACCAAAGTCTTTAGAAACTTCTTCACCTGCAAAACCACATGTTAATACAAATCAAACATACACAGAAAAACACACACACACATACATAAAAGATATTTCAAGTACTAATGGTTTAATGTTCTTATTACCTCGGATGGATCTCTAAGGGAGTAAAACGCATTGCTTTCTTTAGGTGTAGACGATACTAAGATACCGAAACCTCGGTTCCCATCTCTCAGTACCTGTATGATTCATTGTTCTGTTTCGATTAGAAAAATTACTATTAAGAAGTAACTTGAAACATTAGTTATATATACCTTGAATGCATCTTCATCGGTTGTGTCATCTCCAATGTAGATAGGAAGCAAATCGTCTTTGTTGCTTAATCCTAAACAAGATTTGATCAAATCACGATTAATCATTCGGGTAGAAGAGGAAATCACGAAATGAGACTATAACAATGTATACATACCAAGAGATTCTAATAGAAACTCGACCGCTCTTCCTTTGTTCCAGTCTATCACAGGACGAACCTCTAAAACCTATAACACCAAAAATAATTTGTTGTTATAAGATTAAAATGTTAACTAGGAAAAACTGAGAATTATAAGTATCTCTAAAGCTAAACACACCTTCCTCCCATGAGTTAGTCGCAAACGAGGGTATTGTTTCAAATGGTCATGAACACGTTGAGCAATGATTGGCCAATCCTAAGAAACACAAACATTTTAATATCAAAATCCATCAAAGTCCAAAGCAAAATTCAAAATATCTTTTTTTTTGTTACCTTTTCGTCAACGTTACGGTAATGTACAGATGCACAGAACTTGTGGTTCTCTACTTTTGCACCTTTGATATCTTTCATTTTCTCAACAAGGGTTCTAAAAACCTCGTCGATTACCGGTATGAATTCTCTAGCGGGCTGAAATAGATTCACTTCCTTACCCTAATAACACACACAAAAGTGTTAATGGATCATATCATTTAGCAAAAACACGGTTATAAATCATGATTTTTCACCTGTTGGTCAGTAGATTTGAAACAATTCGGATCATCAGAAGAAGTCATTATGTCCATTCCATGACTACCCGCGTAATAGAGTTCTGTTAGTCCTACCAACTGATAAACCTGCCATATAACCAAAAAAACTCTATGAGTACTCAACTTTACAATGACTTAATTATGAATACAACGGTTTAGGATCTTACCTTGTCACGGCTTCTACCGCTAATTATTGCGGTTGGGAAGTAACTCGCGACATCTTTAACCGCAGAACGCATCTGATATACCCAAAAAAAGTAATATTTTGAGCATCATAACAAAAAAACAGAACAGAGTAAATGTTATTAACAAAAGTTTTTTTTTAATTACTGCATCAGACATGATGGCACGATCAGGATCATCAACAATTGGAGAAAGAGTTCCATCATAATCTAAAAATACAGCAATCTTCTTTTTCTTTGCTTGAGCTGCAATATGCGCAAACGAGCTAATCGCAGAAGGATATTTCACCTGTTTTTCAAATTTACAAACAAATATATTTGTTGAGATTAAGAAACACATATTAAGATAAAAGTGAGAGTTTAACAAATTTACCATCCAAGCACGTTGAGCAAAGTCATCTTCAGGAGCAACCTCAACATTGAAATCTTTAACGAGCTTTTTACGCGGTGGAGATGATGAAATCATTGCATCTAACCAACCATTAGATCTAACATCATCGAGTTTCGCAGGTTTCTTCCATTGAGTCATCATGAATCTAGGTGTCAATTTAGATGATGATTTGAGAACAGAGGATGTGTGGTTTGAGTTAAACTCCATTAATCAAAACTCTAAACAATGCTTTTAATAAACTCTAAAAACAATGCTTCAATGCAAGAACTTCTCTTTTTGCTTTTGTTTATCTTCAAAAACACTTTATCCAACTCGTTTATCTATGAAAAACCATCTCTTCATTGTTTTCTTGTCACTGCTTGTTGGTGAAAGCTCCATCAAACAAAACTGATTAACAGAAAAAAAAAAAAAAAATTAAGAAAAATTTTTTAATCTTTTTTGTGTGTAACATTATGTTTATTGACTAATTACCTTATCATCTCCAATTGTTCATCTTATACTTTCAGATTCAATTAGAAATTCACCTGTAGACAACAAATTAACAAAGTTATTTATAATGCTTTGTTTGGAGAGTAATGAATAAATTAACTTCGATAAGAACTCCAAAACTTTCATGCTTTTAAACACAAACTAGTGGAAAATAAAATAATGTTTTCTGTTTTCTGTAAAATAATAAATTTCACTTTTCTTTGTAAAAGTAAGTTTTAAATGTTTACAAATCCTATTGTTTTATTTTGTCGTAACCTTCAATATGTTACTTTCAATTTTTCCCCTATGTGTTACTACTAAAGAAAAAAAAAGAGAGATCAGTGATTGTGACAAGTACCGGAAATTTCAACATCTTTTTCACCAAAATTAAATTGGTAGGTCTAATATTTAAAGAGAACACCGACAAACTTCTAAAACATCACTCGAGAATTTGACAAATCACACGTATATCTTAACAATAAAGTACAAAACTTAATTAAACATGTTAAATCAGTCTTCAATTTTGTAACACTTTGCAAAAAATAAAAATAAATCGTCTATTCAGTTTTTTTTTTTTTAATAAGGACGATGGATCTGTATTTATGGAGAGTTATATTTATTACTAGAAAAAAAGAAAAAGAAAAACTGAAATTTGGGCTCAGAATTTTAGGTGTGAGGACAAATTTGCGTGTGTTATAATTCCCAAATACGACCATTTTTTCGAAACTGTGAAAATGTTTGTTTTTGCAGCAGAAACTAATAGGGAAACTTGTAATGTACGAGGAAACATAAACGGGTCTAAAAAATGCAGAGAACGATAAAATATTTCAATCTTAACAAGAGTTAAATTAGAAGAAAAAAATAACTGAGCTAGCTAGATCCAAAAACTCTCAATAATTTATAAAGATTAAGCAAAAACATTGTGAAAAAGCCAAAACGTTGAAATTAATTAAAAAAAAAAAACAAACCTGATTCAAAAGAGCTCCAAAAGGAAGGAAAAAAAATCTCCAGAAAGATGAAGATTTTTGTTTCCTTTGATCGAAGAAAATGAATCTCAGAGATCGCAAAAGAAAAAAAAAATCTAAAAGTGAGATTTGAGGATTTTTTTTTGTTTTGATTGAATTTGAAAACCCTAATAAAGAGAGAGTCGAGAATGTAGGAGGAAGAGAAGAAAGGGGAGAAGAAAATTGCGGAGGGTTTTTCGTATTTATAGACTCTCTCTTTGTTTTAGAGACTTTGAAAAATAGAGACAGAGTCGTGGTTTAGAAGATTAAAAAACCATCCATGTTGGGTTTATTTACCAAATTTGCCATCACTTTTTTTAATGAATGACCAATCAATAACACGTTATAATTTTTTTTTTTTTTTGTAAAGTAAATGAGTTTGTCATTACTCATACTCGATTTTCTGAAATTTTTTAAACGATTATTTTATTTGATGAAAACGATTTTTGGTTCGGTTGTTGGTTTTAGAATCGACCTTCGTTTAATACAAATTAGGCAGTTTGTTTCTTTGTCCAAAAAAAAAAAAAAAAAAAAAAGGCAGTTTGTTTATTCCATTTTTATTTTTAAAAAAGTCTTTAAGGTCGGTTGCATCAACTAACGTAATTTACTTTAACAAAAACTATCGTAATTTTAAACTAATTATCAGAAAAAATATCGTTATTTTATACTAGGATAATTTTTAATACCATTAACAATTTTGTGTTGTTATTTGTGTTAGCAAACATTAATGGTTAACATTTTGTATTGATTTAACCAAAGTACCCATTAGATCCGTTGTTTCAATGATTTTCTAATGCAAATTTATTTTATTATGAAGATTTTTTTTTGTTGTGTAAACAAAATATTCAATGAGATTAGTAGATTAATTAAGTTATCCGTTATAGCTGTTGACAAAAAAAAAAAAAGTTATTCGTTATGCAATACTGTATGCTTTGGTATGGCGTGGAATCTTGTTGTAATCAATGTTTGAACTTAAACTGTGTAAAACCTGTGTGCGTTTGATGTTATTAATTCACGTAATCAAATTTCTTTCTCAATTTGGATCACGTAAGATCTCGAGAATCCATTTATTAAATACACCACATTTATAATTTTTTTGAGAAATTGTTAAAAATGCCCCTTTTTCAATACCCCTTTTCAAAAATGCCCCCTTTGAGAGTCCATTTTTAAGTTTGCCCTCTTTTAATTTTTAATGACCATTTTACCCTTATTTGAAACAAAATTAGGTCCACAAAATACAAAATATTTTTTGGCGGGAAAAGTGATCCCGCAATTTTCCCGTAAAAATTTTTCCCGCCAAAAATTTTTTTGCGGGAAAAGTGATTCCGTAATTTTTTTGGCGGGAAAATTTTGGCGGGAAAAATTTACAAGGTTTTTTAAAGGTTTTACAGAGTATTTACAAGTGTTTTGTAAGGTTTTACAATGTATTTTAAAAGGTTTTACAAGGTACTTATAAGGTTTTATAAGGTATTTATAACTTGTAAAACCTTATAAAAAACTTGTAAAACCTTATAACTTGTAAAACCTTATAAAATTGCTTGTAAAATCTTATAATATCTTATAAATACCTTATAAATACGTTGTAAAACCTTTTAAAATACATTGTAAAACCTTATAAATACCCTGTAAAAAACCTTTAAAATACCTTGTAAATTTTTCCCGCCAAAAATTTAACGCCAAAAAAATTGCGGAATCACTTTTCCCGCAAAAAAATTTTTTTGGCGGGAAAATTTTTTGGCGGGAAAAAATTTTACGGGAAAATTTTAGAAGGTATTTTAAAGGTTTTTATAAGTTTTTACAAGTGTTTTGGCGGGAAAAATTGCGGGATCACTTTTCCCGCCAAAAAATATTTTGTATTTTGTGGACCTAATTTTGTTATATTTCCTTATATATTTGTGATATATTTTATTAAAAGAAGGGTAATTTAGTCATTTTGTACATAAAAAGGGGTATTTTAAAAAATGGACAGTCAAAGGGGGCATTTTTGAAAAGGGGTATTGAAAAAGGGGCATTTTTGTGAGTCTCCCAATTTTTTTTTCTTTCTTTTTTTTTTTTTTTTTTTTGGACAAACTTAGAATTTTTCTTTCTTTCTTAAACTGTATTTATGTCCTTAAATAATTAAATGTGAGAAGCGTCAAGCGTTAATGGTATTACAACGGTAGGACGTTGGTTGTTAAATAAGCTGGTCCGTTAACATACACGTGGCAATGAGTCAAAAGAGACTAAAAGCTCGTAGACGACACGTGTTGAAGTGTAATGTTGACGCGTCCACGTGTTAGTTGGGCCTTAGATGGGCCCTTCTTGCTAAAAAAGGCAACAAAAGATCTGTCTTTCTTTTTGTCTTTCTCTTTCGCATTATCTTCACTTTACAACCTTCGCGATATAGTTCATTATCTTTTAATTTAATATTTTTTTCCACTATTATAATGATTTTTTAAAAATTTTATATATACTGTAGTAATTTCGTTGAAAAGTATAAATAGTTGGAAATTGGAACTGAATCTAATAAATTGAAAATTTTGAGGGTGGTCACGTGCTAAAGAATTGTGTATAGTGGGCTTTTGGGCCGCGGGGGTCTTGTGTGTGTAGAGAAAAGTTCAAGTCACGTGGATCATGGAGGGGTTAAAGTGTAAATACCGGTTAAATCACAAGTTTTTCTAAATTGGGAATTGACATTAAAGTTAACGGTCATAAACGGTGTTAGTTGAAAAAACTGTTCGAAAATCATGTTTGCTTCACAAAAATAATCGATACCCACAATTTTTTTATCTAAGAACTTTGTTTTCTTGTAGAAGAAAAAAGAAAAAAAAACTTTATTTCTTATCAACCGTTGAAAATTTGTCACGTGTATCATCGGATCTGTACTTTATGATGAGTCACAAAGACATAAGTCTCAGATCTGACAACGAATCTTCTTTCGAGTTTCCCTAAAATTAATCCATTGAAAGTTGAAACTGTGTACTCAGTTTTTTTCGTGTCCATTTCTCTTTATGGTGTGCTTTAAAACATCGATTTAAATGATACTTAAAGAAAACCATATAAAATATTCTAGTCTATATATAATTTGAAGAGATGGATAGACTTAAATCTAAAATTTCTTAGGTTTGGAATGGTAACAACAGATTGAGCGGTATGGGATAAACGGTTTAGGTGGTGTGATGCGATTTAACTATGGTTCGTTGGAGAAAAACGCATTATGCGGAACAAATACGGTTAGTGCGAAACAAATAGAGTGGGATAATGTTTGAATGGTAAAAAAACACACCATGCGGTTCTAGACAAATATTTGAATGGTGAAAAACACAACAAGCGGTACGGGATAAATATTTAATAAATTAATAATATTAGTATAATTATAAATTATTATTATTATTATGTTATACATATAATACTAATGACCAAATAGACACATTCAAAATCAAGCTTCTCTTATATTATCTTTTAAAAAATTTCAATATATATATATAGTAAATAATTATAAACTAAAGCTCATGAATTGGTAATATATATATATATATATAGCTCATGAATTGTAAGAAAAATATTAAAATAGAAGTATTAGATCTGTAAATAGAACTATTAGATGTGTTATATATATATATAGTTGATAGAAAGATTAATAATATCTATAAAGATATTTTATGATATTTAACTAGTGAATTATTTTAAAGTTTGGTATAATAGTAGTGTGTTTTTAATAAAAAAATTTGTCGTTGAAATTGTGTTTTAGAAAATTTTTGTTGATGATATTGTGTTTTATACAGAGACAAAACCAAACTCAGCATACTTTTTTTTTTTTTTTAGTTTCGTCAGAAAAGAGAAATTATTAAAAAAAATTGCATTTCTCTTCCTACCACACTTTATAAGGTGCTTAATTCTTTCAACTGCGTTTCTATGTCTGTTACAAAGAAATACGTACTGCACTGCTATTTCTTATTCCATTTTTTTTTTTTTTTTTTTACAAATTGAAACAAACTAAATGACTTGAATGGTGAATTGGTGATAAATAAGTAGAACCGCACCTAAAAACGCTGGAACGCGCGTTGTACATTCACGCCCTTAGTCATTAACAAAAAAAACATCGGGTAAAATGTATTTTTGTTTATATCGAGACAATATATACGTTTTGTGTGTATACAGTATATTATCAATGATATTATTTCTAGCTAAAGAATAAACAATGTCAAGAATTGCGTCATTAACGTAGTCACTCGGAGCAATTTTATTATTTAGTACTACTATTTTATTATGCAACGAGTTTTCTAACCATGCATGATTTGCCACTTCTTATTATAATTCAATTCAAACAAGTTATCGTAAACAATCTCAGGAAGTTGAAAATGTGTGGTATTAATTTAACTAAATATACAATTGAATCCATTTTTTATTGTGTGTTTTTTTTTAATAATTTTAAATAGTACGGAAAAAACTAATGTATAATGAATTATATACCAGAAAAAAGACGGTGCTACCAAACTCGTTAGTGATTTTATTATTGGTGGGTTTTACATTAATAGTCTTATTACAGATAATATTTGTATCTATTGAATACGACATACGAGGCAAGAGAACAATGTATCTAAAACGTAATGTTAATTTCCTGTAACACGATTTTAATATAGAGTTCTTTGACTTCGCTTTTTTTGTTGTAATGTTATAGTTTATAAATGTTTGTAATTGTGATACATTAACTAAAAGAATGTCAATCCTAACTATTCATAGTAATAAAAATTACATTTGGTTGATGAAAGACATTAGTTAGGTGGCCCATTGAAAATCAATTGCCAGTTAAGAGTAGTCCTAGTAATGTGCTAACGCCTAAGTCCTAAGTATCAGCCCATATCGAACGTCTAGCTATCGCTTAACGATTTTTTGAACATCGTATAAAACTATACTTAATTTATCTAGAGTCGTACTAACCAAACTGATTTTTTTTCTTTTTCTTAAAACCGATTTTTAAAAATGTTACCCAAATTTGCATTACCCAAACTGATTTAGTTTTGAATTTTTGATCGTTACAAACAAACATCTTACTCACTACTACATCTTAACCATATATCTGGCTACACTTATTCATTATTTTCTTATTCCAAATTTAACATATATATATGTAAAATATAATACACAGCTGAATTGAACTCGAACTAGGCAAAGCTAAACTCCAACCCAAATTTG